GGGTGCTCCAATAAAAATTCTCTATCTAGGTGTGAGGTATTTATAAACTCTTTAAAAGTGCTTTACACGTGTTATATTTTTGTTAATCCTTTTGAATCTATTTAAATATATACAAATTTTATAATAATTCATACATGTACTTTTTTTATATTTGGATCTCATGTCCTTTGTTAGATTTATGATTATTAAGGACTTGTTTGATGGAGTTTATTAGAGTTTTTATTTTTTTTTATATTGTTTATGAGTAATAAGATTAAATTTTTCCTAGAGAGAAAATTTAAAATTTGTTTTTGAATATATGAAAAAGTGAGTAAAAAAAAATTTTATGAAAAGTTTAAGTTTAAAACTTTTGAATTTTTACTGTTTAAAGTCATTTTAAAGTTAAAAAAATTTAAAAATATAAATTTTAAAAAAGTAAGTTTAAATTTATAAAATATAAATAGTATCAAAAAATTGAAATTTCAATAAATACTCTCAAACGGGCCCTTAGATTACAGCAAAAGGTACCCGTTTGCCCCTTAACTTTTTTATTTTGAGGGTTTTTACCCTCCATATTACAATACATGGATTTTTGCCCTTCATATTTTCGAGTTTGAGGAAATGAGGCAAAATTTAACGCCGGAGCGTCACATGTAGCACGTGCACCGTTGGCTTCCGTCAAGTGTGCACATGTCAGCACCATCTCAGACTTTTTTAACAACTTGGCATGCCAACTTGAAACCACATGAGCGGGAAATCTACTTGCTACCAATTTTATTTGTGGGCCCCACTGCTAACTAAAGGTTTGAAAAAAAAAAGTTAAATCCTCGATTCAGTCCCTTAACTTTCATTTTTGAACTAAATTTACCCTTGAACTTCAAAATATTGTGACTTGGCACCAAAATATAATTTAATAAATAAAAATTTCTTTTTTTTCTCCTTCTCTTTCCTTTTCTCCTTCCCCTCCTTACTGGGTTCGAAAGAACCCAGCAACAACGCCTGGGACAAATCACAGTTCTCTACCTCTTTTCTCACAACATCAAGAACAGCGTCAATGAGCTTAGCTCCCTCAGTGTAATGGCCCTTAGCCCAGTTGTTACCAGCGCTAGATTGACCAAACACAATGTTATCAAGCCTGAAGATCTGACCGTAGGGACCAATCCTGACACTGTCCATAATACCTGGTTCTAGATCCATGAGCACAACATGCGGGACAAATCGCCTACACCAAGCCTCATTGTAATAGACATTCACACGCTCCAATTGCATATCAGAGTTTCCATTGTATCATTCTGTCGGATCAATACCGTGCTCATCACAGACCACTTCCCAGAACTTAGCACCGATCTGGTTCCCACATTGTCCACCCTGAATGTGAAGGATCTCTCTCATTGTTTAACAACAGATCTGTAGAAACAACAAAACAAGCAGATGTCTTGACTACAGACATAAGATTTAAGCAGACAAGGAGTTAGATGACTATACTATCACTATCTAATATGAAATTTCAAACACTAAAATACCCAGAGTCTGCAATTTCTCTGATTTTCCAACCTACTTTCTCAGCAAACAAACAGAAAACCAAAGATGAGGATTTTATACTTACATCGATCAGAGGCAGAGAGAGAGATAAGAGAGTACAGAGCACGCACGCCTGGGTTCCTTCGAACCCATCACGCCTGGGTTCGATGGAACCCAGGCGCGGGTTCCTCGAACCCAAGCCCTGGGTTCTTCGAACCCAGTAGGGAGGGGAAGGAGAAAAGGAAAGAGAAGGAGAAAAAAAAAA